GAGAACAGAGAAGCTCAGTGTTGTGAACTATGCAAGGTGACATTTGTAGGAAATGACTGATCATAGCTATGAATCCAAGAATTCTCAACTCAGAATCTACATTTATCAACACTGGCACTGTTGATATATTAACGATATAGACTGAGAATTCTCATCGATGAGATCACTGAAGCTCAGTGTTGTGCACTATGCAAGGTGACATTTGTAGGAAATGACTGATCATAGCTATGAATCCAAGAATTCTCAACTCAGAATCTACATTTATCAACACTGGCACTGTTGATATATTAACGATATATAGACTGAGAATAAAACCATCAGACTACGGATATCTAAAATAATGTAACTCCGTGTACTCCTAATCCACCGAGACTCTGCTACCTTGGTTTGCACTTCTATTTTTTTAACAATCCTCCTTATCCAAATTCACAAAGAATCACAGTGCTCTTACTATGTGCCTGGTGCTTAATTGAGAAGATGCAGACCAAAACCTCATGAAGACATCATTCTTGCCCCTCAAACACTGAAACCAGAGGTGGCAGCAAGAAATTCCTTTCTATGACATGAGATTGTTATCCTACAAGAAAGCTGAGGTACCCTGGGAGCCCTGCAATGGGACACCCGATGCAGTCGGGGCAGGAAGTGCTGGGTAAAAGGAGAGGGTGAGGATGGCTGGAGCGAGATGCGAGGAGAGACTTCAGCATCAAAGGAGGAACAAGGTGTCCTACCTGCCTCCTGAGTGTCCTTCAGGTTGTCTCCCTCAGTCCAGGAAGCTCACTTGCCAAAGTTCAACCCCAGATCCCCACACCACAGTCTGTGTTCCTGTGAGTCTGTTGTGTGTCTATCAGTGGTGGCTTCATCTTCATCTTCATCGCTGGCACTCCCAACGGGACTTCATACGGTCTTGTATTTCTCAGTAAATCTTGTTCTCTTTGGCCCTTGAATTATGTCCTCAGACACAGGTCACCTTTGGGGACATCCATCCCCCTTCTAGGGCTGATGGCAATCGTGAATGGATATGTGGTGACTCTCCTGTGCAGGCATGAGAGGCAGCCTGGCAGCTCCACGGCACCTGCCTCCCGGACCATTCTACTTTTCATGCCTTTCTTTGTGGTCATGTCCATATTAGACTGCATTTCCTCCTACTCCGGAATGACATACATGGCACCATGACTCAATGCATCACTGTGTCCACTGCTTCTGGGCAACACCGATGCCACCGTCAGTGCTTTGGTGTCATCTGCACTGAAAACAGGGTAATTAACTGCGGAAATCCATGGGAAGGACAACGAATCCTTCATTATTGCGTGTGGGTGGAGTCCCTTAAGGTGAGGCAATGCAGCCTGATGCCTCCCGGCACCCTGCGTGTGTGCTCTGGATTGAACCACAATCTGGACACAGGCTTTCCCTGCTAAGGCCATGCTCCCTACATGGAATCAGTCATGCCACGTTGTATTCAACATTAAAACACTACCCTAGGCCCCATGACTATATACAGTGATAACATGGCATGAAAAACACCCACAAAATGGGATACACATTCTATCTATAAAGATGGCCATCACTAGAAAGAGAAGAAAAGAGACGAACTTCTGAGAAGATGGGGAAAACTCGTAATCCTCTTGTAGTGCTGGTGGAAATGTAAAACGGTACAGCAGGTACAGAAAACACCATGTACAGGCATTTTAAACAATTAAAAGTAGAGCCATCATGTGCTTGAGCCATCCGCCTCTCGAAGACACATCAAGTGAGCCGGAATCCAGACTTAGGAGATATGAATGCTCCCAGGTGCGTGCAGCACTGCCCACAACAGTGAAGGTATGGAACGGCTGAGGTCTAGAGAGGAACGCGTTCCATCGCTCTCTCCCTGAGAACAGACACGATAAATGTAACCAGGAAGACCAGAAGGACAGACCCTGCACGATGCCACTTACATGAAATGATACAAAATTACACAATTCATGGAAACACAATAGCGTGTTAGTTGCTCGGGGCAGGGGTGAGTGTGAAATAAGGCCCTGCTGTTCAAGTATGTAAAGTTTCAATTACAATACATTAATAATTTGGAGAAACTGGCTGGATGGCATTGTGCTTCACAGTTTACAGTGCTGTAATATGCACTTTAAATTATTTAAGTGTGGAAATCTCCTACTCACTGACTGTGGATCATGAAAATAGACACCGGAACTCGGCTGAAGGATCCTGAACCAACCAAAGCCGGAAGAACGTGAGCAGGAAAATAAATGGCTTCCGTCATGGATCGTAACTGACAGCACAGAGGGAAACTATCAGTCCATACTGATGTAAGTAAGTTACTGCATTCAAGATGAGAAATGGAGAAGGTGTGAATCTTTTTTACAGAAGAACACAAAATAATACAGGGAGACACAACCCCCGCCCCTCCAACCGGTGTGCTTAGTACCCTGGCCCTTTACAGAGTGTGCTTGATGACTCCCCTGTAAAGAACACAGCAGGAAAAACGGAAAGGAAGTAGACTCAGAGGTGAACTTGGCAAATGTCACACTGACCAAGTGTCACACTGACCAGCGATTCCATACGGCTGTCGTGTAACAACAGCTGGTGGTACAGCTTTATAAATAACCAAGTGTGGGGTCCTCTGGAGAGGAAACGCTCGGAACATACGGGGTGGTGGGAGGGCGTCTTCGTCACACTGTGAAGACAAAAGACAGGACAGCACACAACAAATGTGCACTTCTGAATGTTAATTTTACCCAAAACCCTGTGACGTTCCTAGGCATGGAAGGGCTCACTCTGGAGAGAAGCCCTGTGGATGGAAGCAAAGAGGAAAAGCCTCCCTGCACTCTGGCTGAAGCTCAGCGAAGGACGCTACCGGAGAGAGCAGGCTGGGAGGGCGGCGTGCGGGACAGCCTGCTGGGATCCTCATTCCTTCCGAGTCCATGCAAGGACGTGCCCTAGAGAGAAGTCCTGAAGACAGAAGGAAAGCGGGGAAGCCTTCCTTTCTTTATACAGCTTTCAAAGACAGATGACAATGCACGCGGGGGACAGATCCTAGTGGTCTCTGCTATGTGGAAAAGTCTTTGTCTAGTTCATTCCAAACACATGGAATAACTCACAACTGTCAAAAAACCCTGTGAACAGAAACTGTGATCAAGCCTTCCCATCTTGCGGTGACACCTGAAGGCATCAAGGACTCACTGCAGGGAAACCCAGTGAATGAGCACGGACTGTGGGAAATACTGTGCTTCCCTAACAAGTCTTGGAAGACATGTGCTGGTGCACACTGAGATCAACATGACAAATGTCAGGTAGGCGGGAGGACTTTCACGGCCCGAGTTCAGCTCGAAAGATCGAAAGGACTCACGCTGGAAGGACCGCTACACATAGAAGGAAGGTGGGAATACCTTCGTGGCTCTCCCCAACATGCAAAGAGCTGCAGGCCATCAAACCGACTCCAAGTCCTGGGGATACCAAGGATGTGGGAAAGCCCGTCACAGCCCTCACTGTCATCGGACGCACGAAGGAAAACACTGCGAGCGTAAACACTGTGGTAAAGGCCCCTGTGCTCATGGCTTGGTCATGAAACCCAAAGCACAGCACGAACACGATGCGTCCTCGCAGGGTGGTCACTTATGACAAGGGGCATTGTGGGTGGGAGGTGTTCACGTGGGGGTGGCTGTGGGGGAAGGAGGGAAGGGACACGGGAACGCTCCTGTGCTCTTGAGTCTCTCCACCTGCTCAAACGTCCCTCCTCTTAGCACTCAGATGTTACTACAGCACTGAACACAGCCCAAAGGTAAGGCCCAGAGGCTGTGCCCGCAGCTCCCACCCCACCCTCAGGAAAGCTCCATGCAGAGGCAGGGGCATGGACCTGCAGTCGCCGGTGGGACGGAAGTTCCTGCAGGACAGGTGCAAAGAGCTGAAATGGCAGAAGATGGCAGCCAGCGATGACCAAGCCACACCCCCACCTGTCCCCCACTTCCTGGAGCCTTCTAGACAGGAGAGCTTACCCCAGCCATGTTCTGAGGGTGGAAGCTGGTTTAGGCCGAAGTTTTGGTTATGAGCTCAGTGTTCTTTGTGGTTATGACTTTCCTCAATGGCCTTCCTGAGGCCTCCTGACTTGAGGTGTACCTGCCAGAGACATAAAGAACCACAGGGGCCAGCAGTGATATGTGCTTGGACTGCAGTGTCCTCCTCTGCAAGACAGTGATGGCCAACCACCCCTTCCTCCAAGGGAGGGTGGCCCACTGGACGGAAAGGACTCCTGAGGAAGGGCCTGGGAGTGGATCAACACTCCCTGGGTTTCACCCTCAGCCCAGGAATAAAGAAATCAATCCACAACACACACAGTGTAAGGATGGACTGGGAATCTTCTGATGCCATTAACCTCAAGTGCACATGGCAGCTGGATCCCATTCAATGCCCAGTGGCACTGCCACCCAGCGTGTCCCGACCATGCTGTCCCTCACTCGTATCTCAGCAGGTGTTCAATTCCTAGACTCAGTCTACTATCACACGGACCTTCGTTTCATCTTAGTTAACCAATCCACTCCCACTCAACAGTACAGCCCACAAAAGCAGGGCGCCATCCGCTCCTCACTGTACCATCCCCAGGACCTTGAATCGCGCCCAGCTCAGACTGTGTCAGAATCGTCTGTCTCCTCTCTGTCAAGTGACTGTCCAGCCTCATCTGTGAAATCCACGTTGGCCTGCAGCGTTTGTCCCCGAGCACTCAGGCAGGATGGGTTCCCCCTGTGTACACTTGATCTAACTGAAACTTCTCTGTCTGAAACAAAAATGGCCACACTGCATTTGGTGAGTGCAACCTTGTAGAAGGAAAAGCACGACAGAAATGATACAAGGCACAAGAGGGAGAAGTGAGGAACACCCACAGGAAACCCATATCCATGGAGTGGCAATCTACTATCTGAAAGTGGACTTGGAGTAGTTTAAGTGTAAACTGAGAATTCCCGCCCAACTAGGCAAAAAAGTAAAAAGGAAATACGTGGGCCAACAAAGGACATAAAATGAAATCGTGTAAGACGCCCAAGGAAATTACATAACATGGGAAAATATACAACAGAAAATGAGAAACAAGGAAGAAAACAATGAGTAAAAATAGTACCATATATGGTATCAATTAATTCAACTGTATGATCAAGCAGTTTAAAAATCAACAGTCCAAGCAAACTACTGAAACAGAGATTATATAAGGAACTGAAAACCAAGACTGACTTGTATACTGTTTAGAAAT